ATTATATATTGCTCTAAATTTAAAACACGACCTGCTTTCTATAGGGAAAGTAGATGAAAACGGTTACACAGAGACTTTCCACAAGAATCAGGAATTATTACCAAAGATGATACTACCATCTAATGGCTAACAAAGAAAATGGATTATACATAGTAAAACTCAGGACGACCACAAATGCTATAACTTATAAACAACAAATGAATTAAATAAAATTCCAATTGAAAATTTGATATACGGACATATTAATTATAATACTCTCAAGCCCATATCCCCGCACATACAACCCTTCACTCTCCAACAGGAAAAGCATAAAGGAGTACTAGTATATGCAGCCTAACACATACTAATCGAAAACCTGGACAACTAATATACATAGACTCCTTTGAATGGGACTTACTCTCACACGAAGAATACAAATACATTACCATCGTCGGGACAGGTACACGTTCTAAACATATAATAATCATTTTTGCTAAAAACAAACCGGAGTTTATAGAAAAACTTATAATCCGGGTTAGATGCCAAATCAACTCTATAAGAAACCTTATACTAAACAAGAACACCACAACAGCCTTAAAAGTAAAGGTTCGCACAGACAAAGGAGTGAATTCACCATTGAGTTTAAAAACAAAATTTATAAATCTGATATGCTTCTTAGCTCAGTTCCCGACACATCTCAATACATGCTGAGTGAAAGAAGTTTACAAACTATTTCAAACATGACATGGTTTATAGAATACTGGAGTGAAACCATGCGTGACTCCGTATTTATAATTAAATACATCCCTAAACAACATAATCATCTAACTCCAAACGAAATATATGACCTAAAACTGAGAAGTTAGAACCATACAAGCCTTTAGGCTGCAAGGTTCTAGTGTATGACAACAGATATAAGCGGAAGTCCGATGCTCAAGCGTTTGAAGGTATATTACTTTCAAAACCGACTGATTCAACTAACACGAGTACACGATACTATATATACATACAAACCGTATTATTAGATCAAAAGACATCACTTTCTTTGAAAACATCTTTTCATTACAACACAAGGACTGCCGGAAATCAACACATAATAACCACTAATACATGGACAAAATTTCGATAGGGGCCTCCGATAATACGGACTACAGATACTCGAGACCTAAACACGAAACGTATACATCGAGAAATGAACGGCACAGATAAAAACTGACACTATAAACAACATAATAAACGAACCTAGTCCTTCCTACAACCAAAACACGAGACGGCTACACATGAAGCTAAACGAGAATAAAACTGAATTAATAAACGAACCAATAAACACACCTGAACCCTCTCATGACCCTAATACGAGACACATATACACTCAACAATGAATGAAAATGACACAGATATAAAACAAAAATAGACACATCTAACCCCTATTACGACCTTAATAAGAAACATTTGCCCCCCTCAAGTAAATGATAAAAGCAAATCTGATACTATAAACGCGTCAATAAACACCTAGCCCTTCCACACAAAAGGCGGAGACATGCGCAAGAACGAGAAGGAAGACGAGTGTCCATGCTTTTATAAATGATTTTTAGAGACCTTTATTATGAAAAATAAACCGGAAAAGATTTAAATAATGCCTCTAACCAGGGTGTTAATTGTTAAATAGTGAAGTTATCCAGTAAGCTAAACTAGACATCTTCCGGGTAAGTTATGGTACCTTTGCTTGAAGCGAGCCGTGATTTGTATGTGGTCCCTCCTCTATTAGTTATAGCTTAGTCGGTGAACTAGTTATGTTGGAATAGAGTGCTTTCTGTTTTAGTCAATGTTATCTAGCCAAAGAGAACAACTTACTTAAATAGAGAGAATCTTATACCGGTCGTAAGTTGGTGTTGTTTCTTTTTAGTAGAACAGACGAGCTAATCAAAAAATGATACTAAACTACTTTCATTAGAGCAAATGTTTCTACAATTTCACCTTGAGTTGAAATAGAGCCCGATGGCAGATTGTTATTAGTAGCTTGGACCATTGTTTATTTTTTTTTTTGTTTTCGATATCTAAAGGTAATGTAGTCTGTAGATTAACTTAACCAAGTTAAAGTCAGTTAAGTAACCGATTGTAGCCTCTCCACAGAAATTATTTATGTACCCACTCTAGGGTTATTACGAAAAGCTTCAGAGTGCAGCTTTCTTCCACTAGATAAAGCTTGTCTTCTTGACTTAGCTACAAATTTGGTCTAGACTTTAAAGTAGAATTCTGCTTCAAATAAATGTGGTTAACTCTAGCCGACTAGAGTAATTTACCCGTCAACAGTATGATCAATGCTTGAACCAATTATACGACTATATGGTCAAAAGCCCAAAATAGCACTAGGAAATTACTTTTATCTCTATCCTTTGGCGATATTTACTTATCTTCATATGAAAAAAGAAAGCCATACAACGCTTCTAAATTGTTACTTAACTGAAGTAGCAACCAACTATAACCCTTTCAAAATTGCTTCACAATCTTCCTGCTAGCAAAGAAACATTAGATTACTACACGTCAGTAGAAAAGTCTAGACTCTATGTTTTTTTGAAACCAAGTTTACTATCTAGTGTAAGGAGCACTAGTCTCGGCAGGTTAGCGATCTGTTGTTTCACCTTGGGGGATTCATAGAACCCTTTCATAGCATCCTAATAAGCAAGGTAAGATTAAGGTATTGGATCCGCAATTACTAAGAATAAAGTCCCACTTTTGTAGAACAAAACTAACGAACACTCTAAAAATAGCTTGTTCCACCGAAGTAGCTAAAGTTTATGATTATTGACTAAAATTTAGGATTGAATTAGTTTATAAAATTTAACTTATTTACGATAAAGCAGAGAAGTAAAAGTATTCTCTTTTGAAACAAATCCATCCCCCAGGACCGCCTAGCGTAGACTTCTTGATTCTAACTCTGGTAGGACGCCAAGAGGTCGCCAAACAAGTATATTTAAGCAAATTCCGCAAATGGGGCTTCAAATTTTTTTTATTGAGTTTCAGATATGTTCATGCATTAAAGGGGCAAGAAAACGATATTAAGAAAGGCTATAAAATATATTAGGCTTTCGGGATGTTCAAATGTAGTAGCTTGTCTAGCCAAAAAAATTTTTAAATTTCCAAAGTTGTAAATTACTTTGATAACTATGTACTTCTTTCCCCTTTATGGCGCACCTTTATAACCTAGGTATTTTATCTCTAGGGACAGTAAGAAGAAGCCGAATTCTTAACTGTAAGCTTCTCACTGAGCAGCATTTAAAAAATAACATGGTGAAACCTTTGAATTTGAAAGCGATGTCAAGGTGTTTGTTACTTGTTTTACATGAAAAGACAACAAAATTGTAAATTAATGTCTACATTTTCGGTACAGCGACCACAAACCGCCGTTCGATGATTTGAGAGAAAGCTGAAAAATATATATGTTACATGGTCCAGAGATTATCGCCATATTTAACAAGCTTATGGGTGAGTGGAATTATTTAATAGCCATACTGGACTTTACGGAATTTAAAAAAAGGAAGTGGTACTCGGGTTTTTTTACCCATTACTTGATCTAGCACTTGTGAACGCTTGGTGACTTTTACGGAAAAGTCTGTTTGGTAACGCATGCAGCAAGCGAACCAAAAATACTTTAGAATTCAGGTCTCCCAACCCCCGTGCAAAACAGATGAAAATTCATCTAAAAGAGCGCGACCATACAAAATGAATATGAAGAAAATGAAGGAATTTTAGCAGCGATAGTACCACCAGGTGATGTCAGGAAAAAATCACTTGATCATTGACCCTATGGATGACTAACAGGGGGAGATGCAAAAATTCTATATCGGAAAAACTTGACTTACATACTCTGATCAAAATGCTAATCACACCTATGCTTCAATTAGAAACTAGTTGTTCCCGCGAGGTTCACAGAGAATTCTTCACACGTGTAAAATTCATTAATGAAAGCTACAGACAATAAAACTAGTAGCTCTTCCTTTTTACTTATCAGTTCTTCTTGCTTGTCGTATTATTTTAGCTACCTGAGAGTTAGCAACTACCTTTCAAATTTGTGAATCACTCAGCAATTGTTATATTATAAGTTTTCAGTATTATACGAGCGCAAGATTTCGCATGTATTTAATTTAAAAAGTATTTCATAAGGTCTTACGTGATTTTTTACTATAGGCTTTGATTTTAAATGATAAAAAATTTAGCTTTTGCTTAAAGCTAATGCAAAAAGATATACTCCCCCCCACAGTTGAGATTTAGTAATCTATTTACAATTTCCTCAGGATCTTAACAGTATTCTTGATACCAAGCTTTTATTGGGCGAAGGTTTGCTTATTTCTTAGTTTAAAATCTAACTTAAGATAGTAATCATCCTCATCTCAAAGCATATTAGCCGTTAACATTATTAGTTTCTCTTACGCCAAATTAATAAGCTATAAATATACTTACCGAGCTAAATTTTCCTTTAGTTTTTAAGTATGATTGTTCAAGGATCTTTTGAAGAGAAGTTGGATTTAGCTTGCGACCTGTGTTGTCTTTTTATTAGTATTTATATAAAATTTATCAAGTTCCAATCTACTCTTTTTCCTTTTTTTTTGATTTTTTTAATCTTTACCTCAAGCTGTTGCTTTTATATATAGTTATCTATCAAACTGTGTTAAAAATCTTTTATAGCCGAATTAACTTTACTCTTGAAGTAGAGTAGCAAAATGTTTTCGCATCCCTCTCAAAAAGGAGACTTTCTTAAAGGTTTATATCATTTTTCTTATTTTGTAAAAATGTTATTTATTATATATTTAAAATTTATTTGAAATCAGACATTGCAGAATCCCAAGTTTTTGTGCTTACTGCTTTTAAAAACGGTTAAAGGAAAACCTTTTAAAGTTATTAATGGGGACACTATTGAAATTAAATTAAAAAACTATCAAGCTTTTTTAGAGGTTTCAAAAGTAATATTCTCACTTTAGTGATAATTTAGTAATCCACGATATTTTTTAAATCTTCCTAACAGAATTTAGCTGCGCCACCTTTACATATTGTTACTAACCTAAGCCCTAACGACATATTAGAAGGCCACAACAGTTATTATGCAAACTTTTACTTAGATCTCTATTTATTTATTACCTTGTTCCTAGCGGAGGAGTTAGTTAACCTAATTTTGCTGTTATTTAATTCCCCTTTATCCGTTGGAGGTCAACTTGTCAGGTAAAAAAACTCTTTTTGTCTAACTTTAAAATTTCCATCAATTTTTTTCATATGTTAGCGGCAACAAAGAAACGTTGGAGAAAATGGAAAAATCCTGTTAAACTTTTTTAATTTTCTTTGCTAAATTTATTTTAAAATTATACCATAAATTCAAGATGCGTCCTCTTATTTTGAAGAAAGTGCTCAAAAGTCAGGATTCTCTTTAAATATTGTAACTTCCTCTTCTATTTCCACCGGCAAACGTGTCTCTTGCAGGCAAGTCCTCTGGCGTTAGTCGTTTTATTACTAATTTATAGCTATTGTGTTCAGACTTTGTAAAGAGTTTATAGAATCGCAGCCCGTGCAAATTCTTACGGATTTGGTAAGTAACAAAAATAACAGACGAGTTTTTTATATGTAAGATAATAAATTTCATTTAAAAAACCGACAAATTTGATTGCAACACATTTACTAAATAAATAAATTAAAATAAATTCTTAAATAAAGTTCGCATAAGTTATTTATTTTTTTTACTTTTCTTTTGTATCGGATAAATTGATTAATTTTTTATTTCATTTTCTAAATAATGCTTTTTTTAATCCCAGCACAGATCTTTCATTCTATAATTGTCTTAATTACACCGTAAAATATATAACTATAGTTTCATGCGGACTGCGTAGCTTGCCACGAGTGCACTCGAAAGATTATACCTGGAGAGCCCGCAATCCAGACAGGTTAATAACCTAAAAATTAAGATTCGCAAATTTCTTAAGATCTCTAATGTTACATGTTTTAATACTTCTTTGCTTATAACTTTTATTACTATTACTATAAAACAAAAATTTTAAATTTCGTTTGTTAATTTTTCTTTCTGAATTTAAACTATCTAGCGATAATATATTTAGAGTAAAAAACTTTTAAAGTTTACCTTAGGCGTAAAGTTGATAATCTAAATTATTGAGGTTTGTAGTGAATTTATTGAGTATAATAACTTTATATTATTATTATACTATAATATATAATACAAAAGTAGTTAAACTTTTTAATTAGATTAATATTTGCGGATCCAAGTTTAAAGCCTTTTCAAAAAAATAACAAAAATTAATTTATTTATTATTATATTTTGAGCTTTTTTAAAATTTTATAAAGTATATATATCTTTTACCTCTTTATAAAAAAGCGGAAACTTCGGAGCACTTTTTGTTTTTGTGTCCCGACTGCGACTGCGAGCTGACCTGCAGCGGCTGCAGGGAAGTAATTAGTAGAACTTACCACAATTATACAAAAACCGATAATCTTTATTATCACAACCGCTGTCTCTCGTATTTATTATATTATTATTATTATTTACTGTTATTACTATTATTATTATTCAGCTGTTCTTCCTGTGGTGTTTTATGCACGAACATTTCTACCCAAGAGTGGCCTTTCCATTGCATTGAATGCAAAAAGACGCTCGAAACTGGTTTCTATTACTATTATTATTAATATCATTAAAAAAAAAATACTTATTATAATAATCAATAAGAAAAGGAATTATCACAAAATCAGAATATTTTTTCCTAGTAACAATGAAAAGTTTATAATATTAAGTTCCAATTAACCATCTTTACATGTTCGTGAACAAATTACTCACTTAATAGTCAACACCACCTTTCAGCCTGACTGTCCTTCGCTTTGCACTGATTCGCCAGTTTCAATCGAACCTCTTTTGGGGGGTCATTCAGCATACAAAAGTGGTAATTAATGGATTTATAACGACAAACTTTTAGGATAATATTTTTATTTGCTTCTAAAATATAATTCTTTAGAACATGTTATATATATATAATATTTTTTGGTAAAAAGCGCTTAGTGAGCTTGTACATGTCTCGACTGAAAAGTGCAAAAGTTGCCTACTCCCGACTTCCGGGACAAAGTACGTCCGGCAAGAGGATGGAAACACGTGGCATGGTTTCTCTTAAATATTTTTTAAACCTTTTTATATCAAACTTTCGGATTACGCACGTTTATACACTTTTTACCAATTTTTTATTATAAAAGAGTTAAGACTTTTTTTTTAAATGTTTATATATCCATTCGATAATAAAGATCCAGTTTTTTAATACTTTTGACCATCTTCGCTTTCTTAAGCGTGTACACTTTACAGTTAACTTCTCATTCTTAAATGGTTTAAACTCTTTTGTATCCCTTTTAATTTTTTAGCTTTACTTTTTTTTTATAGTTTATATTACTTTATTAATAAAATAAATTATTGTTTATTTTTGTTATAGTTATTTCCATCTCGTGTCAATTTTTTGGTACTGAAAGTTCGCTGCAACTTTATCTTAGTTTTCTTTTTGCATACCTTTTCGTGTAATGTGCACTAGGTATTGTTTGTTGCATTTTTCAGCAATAAATTTATAACATGAACCGGGTAAAGTTCCCAACATATTTTCGTGAATGTTTTGTGGTTAATTCGCCTAGCAATTAAAAGGAAAAAGACACTTGCGTAAACCACGTGGTTTTTATTACTGATATATACCGTTTTATAATTTCAGTTTTATTCAATTTAATCTGCACACATATCATTATATTTCATGCGTACGTAGCTTCTCATGAATGGAACTTCTGTCACGTGATGTATAAAGAGCTACCAATGGAAACATTTTATTTTGTTAAAGCTAAGTATAGGGAGAACACCCCAATTTGAGCGCGGTGTTCGCTGGTTCGCTTCCAATCTTTCCTCTCTTCGTTATCATAGACGTGCATGTCTGGCTTTCTAAGACGGACTTTCCTTATAAAAGTCATATTGATCAGATTTAGTTATCTTGTGGGTTTTTTTTCCGGCCGACCACTTTTCTCTGTAGTCGCCCAAAAATCACGTGGGAGTGTCTTTAGATTTCTTGTTAAACTTGTCGTTTCTGTTTACATAAAACTTTTTTTAGAGGAATGCTTTCACTGCGCTAAGTGTGCTTGCTTTGTTTCGGGAAAATTCATCACTGCTGGAAGATTTGTTTATTGCTTTCACTGTTATTCGACTTTGTTTTTGCCAAAGTGCTCCCTTTGCTCCGACGAAATAAAAGGTTGTTCTGTTAAGAGAATTCGTGCATTTTATGTAAATATTTAAAAAAAAATTCATACAAGTAAAAAGACTAAATTTATAATTATTGAGTATACATATAAAGAAGGCTGAGAAAACTTGATTGCTCGCATATTTATACATATGAATAGTTTAGTAGTGTGAATAAGGAGTTTAAAAAATATTTCTATGAAATTGTTTTGACATATTTTAGTGCAACTTTTTCAGCAAGCTAGTTTGAAATAATTTTCATAAACTTTTTTCTCAGTTGATAGTTTGAGTATACCTAATATACCAATTTTTTATTACAAATCCAAAAGTTCTTTAATTATATCGAGTTTCTGTATCCGCTTTTTTTAAAAAAAAGAGTTTGTGTTACTTCCTCCATATTATTCGTCTTAAAAAAATATTTGTATATGCACATTTGCTTTATTAATTTTTTATATTATTAAAATTGTTCTGGCCATTAGCGGAAAGGTATGTTACCGTTAAAGGAAAGGAATACCACGCGCGCTGTCTCTCATGCGCTGTTTGCAAATCTCATTTCTTTTTCCATCAAAACTTTCATCTCGTTGACGGAAGAAATTATTGTAAGCAATGCTCCCCAAATAGTTAATAGTTTAAAAAAAATCCCTTAGCACTTGCAATTTTATTTATTAAATTTTTTTTTGTTGATAACTGATGTATTTTTATCTGTACACTCATTAAACCTTACAAATTTTTTACAAAAAGTGTTACACATTAGAGTTCCTTATTAAGAAGTAATTTACTTTCCACTTTTTTTATTGAACTCTTAAGTAACAACATTTTAGGAGCCTTGATGAGTTTCTTGTGCAAATGATATTTGTTTACTCTGCGCATTCAACACGAGAGTGTTATTTTAAGTGAAGTGTTAATGTCACTTATGTCTCAGTTTTTATTAAAAAATCTTATTATTAAATATGCTATACATTCTGGTAAGGAGCGTTTAAATTATAAACACACTGAATAATGCTTATGTATTTTTAACTTTTCAACAATTCTAACTTTTAGTTATGCAGCCTCTTTCTTTACAATTCAATTTACATTAAAATTTTAGTTTTCCTTTTGACTTTTTTAAATAACGCTTTTTTTTAAAAAATTATTTCTGGCTACTCTACATAAGTTTTTTATTCGTGAAGAGGTCACATGTAATCAGGAAGTTTGTTATCACACCGAACGGGTATAAAAACTGTACAAAACTTAAAAAGATAAAAAACCCACATCCTAACTTGTGTTGCTGTATGCGCAGGTCTAATCACTAATAACGCCAGCCAGCAGAAGGATTTTTTTTGACATAAATTTAGTAGATATTAAGCCTTCTATAACTGGGAATCCTTTGTTATTAATAAAGCAGTGGTAGATTTTTATTTACTTCTACGTTTGTTATAACAAAGTGTATAGTTCAAGACTTCCGTAGTATACTTTTAAGAGAACTCTCCTTTACAATAATTCAGGGCTAAGGTTTACCCTATTAACAAAATGAGGGTACTATGATGACTTATTCATATAACTCCCTTTATACCATTCTCTTGATACGCCTACGCCCGTGTAGATGGCACTAATATTGTAAGGTATATTCCATTTCCTCAAATTTTTAGAACACTATTTAAAATAATTTTTATCCGTTAATATTAACTTATATTTAACTTTTTATGATATCTCCAGAAACTCGGTTTATTTCTTAGTTAACTATTTCGATCATTTGGGTTCAGTATTATAAGAGACAGAATACAATATTGGCACTAGCTTTCTTCATAAAACCATTTGCCTCCTGGAAATATTATTGTGGCACCTTAATGGAAGTTTTTTAAATTCTAGCATAGTAGTTTTTAACTTCCTTATAGCCCCTTATTTTGTAAATAAATAAATAAATGGTATAGCTTGCATGTACCTGTTTACCCAAAAGTACTTTTAGAACATTAATAGCCAAAGCACATAAAACGTGACATGCCCCTAGTGAAGCAATTTTTTTTTAAGAAATTAAAAAAATAATTTTTATACACTTCCACAAGGCTTTCCCTTTGTAAAAGATCAACTTGATGAAAGTCAAGGAGAATAGCTTGAGAGCAATCCAAAAAGCACAGGGAACGCGCTCTACGAATTAAAGTAGCTCTATATGGATTAAAAGAATCAGTACGAACTCTTCAACCGAGACCAAACGACTTCGTAAGCAAATTAATAATTTTAAATCATTATATTCTGCTGGGTAGTTATATCTGAGGTCTATGGAAAATGACTGTTGAATTAATAGTAACAATAAAGCCTTTATTAACGATTTTAAACAGAACTCTGGAGATTATAATCCAGCTTAAATATGGCTGCCTTACAAAGAATCAAGAAAGGCTTTTTTAATATATGACTAACTGCTCGACCTAATATAGTTTATTTCCCCCCCCCCCCCCCCCAGTTTTGTTCATAATAATAACAATCCACATTTGTCATCAGTGAAACATATACTTACTTACGTGAGACAAAAATCCAAAAAGGTGCATCCTTGGGAGACACCAATGTTCAGAAAATCTCCATGGGGCATACTATTCTAGTTAACGAAACTTTAAGATATGGAGTTTCTATATAAATAAGGGCCAAAACCATAAATTTACGATTTAAGCGGTATATATCGTGTTTAGCAAAGCTATGTGGACATTACGGAAAAATCTAATTGGTGGACTGTTACCCGATTATAAAAGAAAAGTTCACATATATACAGAAGAGAAACTGTTGAATCGGGAATGCCTCAAGCTAAAAGTTAAGAGATGTGGATATTAACCAGTTAAATAATAAGCCTCATACCGGTTTAAGAGTAGTTCGTCGTAGCTCAGGGGTTTAAAGTATTGACTCGCATATTAAAGGTCGTGTGTTCCCTTCCCACAGATGTGACTCTCTTTTTTTTCGGTCTTTGATGTTGCATATTTAACCTTACTCTCATACGTTTATAAATGTTATATAATTTAGAAATACATTAACGAAACCTCAAGTAAAATAAGAAAAACACGTGAGCAAGAAGAAGAAGCAAAACGTCATAGGTAAAATTTATTGAGCTTTACGGGAAAAACAAATACTAGTATTGCCTCTCTCAGAAAAAGATTAGTTATTACACGAAAGTTATATGATAGCAATTATTGTTCAATGGTAACTTTTATTTAACAAGCACGAGTTCTGCAATGGGCCAAACGAAAGCACTCATGCAAGCTTAACCCCGGTCAGAGGGGCAGACAGTAAACAATGGGGACACTCAAGATTGGCCGAAGCTTTTGGCCTGTGAGAAACTACACAAAAAATCAGGGTAGGGCTCCCAAGTCGGCGAAAGACCCTGGCTTGAGAAAAAGGGGCCCGGGATCGAGAGCATGCGCCTCGTTGCTCTTAACCGCTGGGCTACGACCACAACTGTTATTCCGGTATAATGAGTTCAAGTATATAGCCTGTTAAATATATTTTACCTTCACATTAGACATGACCTTGGAGAGTGAACTACTAAATGTACTATGATAAAAAGATAAAAGCTTTGGGGGAGTACACCCTTTTAATGCTATTTTTTCAATTCTGCTAACTAATAATTCCCAGGTCTTCGCCATACGAGAGATAATAATTAGACCCCAGCGACATACCGGAATATTAAAATTATAGTATACTAATTGTTAACTAATATAACTTGCAACCGCGGAAATAAGATTACTTCCACAAAAAAATTATAGTCAAAGTTTTATAATAGACAATTTTTAAGTTCTCTATTATAATTAAAATAACGTAAAACATTGATAACCATCTTTACACTTAGATTATTAACTATAAATCTCAATGCTAATAATTATAAATAAACTGGGCATTTTTGTCTTACTTGTACTTTTTCTGTTTTTTTTATTCCACTTTCACTCTTATACTTTTATATACTCTTTTATATTCATCTATTTTAGCACTATATTGCCGGCTTCAAGTACTTGCAAACAAGAAGTATAAAACCAGATCTAAGTCCTTCGCAATAAAAAACTTTCCCAAGCTGTTAGAAATGGCAGTAAAGCTTTAATGCCGTACAGTGGCCCTAACATTATAAAAAAGGATATGAGGGGGAGAAAGGCTAAAAAAACTTTCAACTGAAATGAAGAAGTTCAAGATATTTAAAATAATAAACCACGCGTGTGTTATCGTACTAAATTTTGTATTAAATTTTATTTTTAAAAATCTACCGAAGTTAAAAATGGTTTTTTTTGTAGTCTTAATGCTTTTTTCCACTCAACTTAGTGACTTTTTTACTAATTATAGTTAAATTCTCAGTGGTAAGAAAACTAATATCCTTAGTTTCAATAAGAATAAAAGTTGCAGTACAATACTAAGCAAGAAATGGTAAAGCTAACTGTACGTAATATGACCCTATTTAGGTTTAAGGCATTATATAGTCCAAAAAGTGTAAAAACACTAAAATCTTTTAGACGTTTGACTGCAAGGCTTTTATATCCAAGAAGTATTATTCACAGTAAATCATCCAACTTTTTCAAGACCTTGTGCCATATGATAGTAGTAATAGTTATAATTATTTTAGATAGAATCAGAAAATTTCCGCCAAGAGTAAAAGAACTGCAGTCAAGAGCGCAGCCTCTTCCGCTCTCAGTTAGCATATACTCTGCTGAATACTTTTGTTTTACTCCTTCCCAACTACTTCATGGCCAAATAAAAGGGGGTAGCACGTTGTGTCAACAAGCCAGGCTTTCAAAGAGTGCATTTTGGATTGGGAGGGGAAAAAATTTCCAAGTATTGTCCAGCCTGGCTTATCCCATTGCTTATTAAATTTTTTGGACTCTTATTATGCCGCCAAGAAAAGGGAAGAATAAAAAGGAAATCTTAGGAACAGATTTTCACGCACAAGAGGAAGAAAGCCATATCCACAAAGGGGGTCGACGTGCAGCCAAAAAGTCACAAGTGCCAAATTCCAACTCTTCTGCCGCTACCACTGAAAGTAATAAAGTTCAACAGGTTAAAAAAAGAAGAAAAAAAGGCAAAAGAAGAGGCGACTCATCCTCCTCGGATGAAGAAGATGTGCAATATACTGAACACCACGCTAATAAAGCATATTTTTTCACAGAAAAAGAACAAAAAAACCCTTTATCTACCGTCGAAAACTCGGATAAAAAACAAGAAGAGAAGAGAGTTTTTAGAAGAAGAAAAAAAGGGAATTTATCTTCTGACAACGAAGAATTTACACTTCTTGGCAAAAAGGATAAGGAAGGAATAAATTGCAATTTAATAGCTTTTGACAATAAACAGCAGTATAAAGAAGAACCTTTCGGTTTGGCTGTAAACAATATTGAAAGCAAAATAGATGAATCTCTTAACTATAACAGAAAACTAAAGAAGAAAAGAAATAGGAAGGGTAAAAATAGATTAGATTATTCGTCTTCTGAAGACGATCTTACCACCTCAACCCATCCTGAGGTTATGGTTGGTCTAGCTCTTAACTTGGAAGAAAAAAATACCTCTTTTGTTCCCCCTTTTTTAAGTGATAAAAGAAAATCGGATATTTATATAAATAAAGAAGACGAAGAATTTTCTTCTTTAACCCGGCGAAACAACCTCCCTACTGTCAATTTTTCTGCAAGTGGAGCTGATGAAAGGAAAGAACTTTTTTTGGTTACTGATGCAAAAAAGAAAAAAGGAACACGAAAAGGAAAGGAATTATTTTTAGATGAGGAATATTTTGAGCTTCCTGTTGATAACAGAAAGGAAGACCATTCCTCTGCTTTAGTTAAAGGTGGTAATAGGAGATTGTTAAAGGAAAATAAGAATTCAAGAACTGAAACAAGAAAAGAAGAGACGACTTTTGACAAAGCTCCTTTTTTACAGGAAAATGTAAAGCGACCTACTTCTACCCAAGTTGAGGTTGAAGGGCGCATGGAATTTGGCTTCGAAGGAAATACATCAGAAAATACTACAGAAAACCTTGTTTCTTCAACGGTGGAAGTGAGGAGTAGTAGTCAATTACCTGGTAACATATTTGAACAATCTGTGACTAAAGCTAAAAATTCTGAAATTTGTGAAGCTATGTTGATTGAGGAATTTCCATATAAAACTTATGTTGAAAGTAACCTTCCTGATAAGTTTTCAAAGTTAACTTTTGAGGAACAGCCTCGCGCCTTGAAGGTTTTTAATAAAAACTTTAACCTTTAAGCATCTTTGATCTAACTATAAGTTTCCTCCTAACTTTTACTTATTTTATTTTTCTCGCCGTAAAGTTAAATGATTATTTTAATATATATTAGAATCGGAGCATTATCTCTGAAGACTTGGACGTTCCGTTCTTCTTGAAAAACGGAAAGTTGGAATCCAATCGTCTTCGAAAAAAAGAAAGGAAGGGGAGGCGTTTAAAGAACAAGACTACTGGTCAGGAATTTGGTTCAGTTAAGAGCGATCAAGAAGAGGACATACTTGACGCCTTAAATAAGGCTTCTGGAAGTGTTTTTTTTTAAATGCGGGGTCACTTTCAGTTATCTAGATATGCATATTAAAAATAGTTGAACTTGGATCACAATTTGTTGTTTCGCAAGCCGTAAGCAGAGGCCACTCAACTCAGAGCGATGATATAGTCAAAATTATGGACTTCAATATTTCTGTTGGAGGCCGAGAGTTGTTTAAAAATGCGTCCTTGGTTATCAATAACGTAAGTAAGGAATTTACCTTTGCAGTACTTCTACGTTGACGCCCTCTTTTTTTGGCAGGGGCAACGGTATGGCCTTTTGGGCCCCAACGGTCGTGGTAAAACAACGCTTCTGAAACACATCGCCAGCAGAGCGTTGGTGGGCATCCCTGAGAACATCACAGTTTTACTGGTTGGTATTAACACCATACACCTGGCTGCTTTGAGATCCCCGCTTAATCCACTCCTCCTTCCAAAGGTTCAGCAGGAGCTCGAAGCGCCATCCGAAGAGTCTGTAGTCGCGGTGAGCGTCATTAACATAATTATGTTTCCTTTTCGCGGTTCTAAAATTTGCATATATTAAGTGTAGGCTGTTATGAAGGCTGACCGACGAACGAAGCTACTGCTTGAAGAAGAGGTCAAACTAAACCGGGCTTTAGACATTGAGGAAGATCTCTGCAAACAAGAATCTCTCAGGTTCACTTTAGCCCGCTGTCCATGCATTCACATAATCAAGTAATGCCTTAAGCGCGCGTCTGCAAACTGTCTATGAATTGCTACACCAGAGGAGTGCAGCTTCCGCGGAGGGCAAAGTGCGTAGCATCCTCTACGGTCTAGGCTTTCAGAGTACCATTCTTATTAAAACTGTTTTATGTTTTGCCCTTTCGAAGTCTATATTTATGTAGCAAACGCCCAAGATAGGCCTACCAGAAGCTTTAGTGGTGGATGGCGGATGCGCATTGCACTGGCTCAAGCATTATTTATGGAGCCCGGTCTTTCTGCGCTTCTAAGTGCGAACCTTCATGATTATAAAATCGTTAGGTCTTCTCTTATTGGATGAACCCACCAATCATCTGGACTTGGATGCCGTTATATGGCTAGAGGACTATTTGCAAAAATGGAAAAAGATGCTTTTAGTAGTATCTCACGACCAGGACTTTCTAGACTCGGTCTGCACGGATTGTCTGCACCTCGACGCTAAGAAGCTCAACCATTACAAGGGAGGTTGTTCACACTAAGCAGTGCCCTTCATTACCATTAGAAAAATTTTAATATTATTATTATTCAGGATACTACGAGTTTAAAAAATTGTATGAGCAGCACTTCGAACAAGAGTTTAAGAAGTGGAAACAACAACAGAAACAGCTGAAGCAGCTCAAGCATAGTGGGCTTACTGCTAAGAAAGCATTGGAAAAGACCCAGAAGCAGCAGAAGGCCAAAGATGAGAAGCTACTGGGAAAAAAAGCGCGTGTGCTTTCTATGGCTTCATTGCGCCACTTTTTTTGTTCTAATATGTATTGACGCGCTTTAGAAAGCAGCAGAGGAGAAGGAGGAAGGATCGACCGCCATGCAACTGATGGAGAGACCACGCTTGTACAACGTGGAGTTCACATTTCCCGAGCCACCAGAGATTCGAGAACCAATTATTACCGTCCACGAAGTAATAAAGTTTTCAATGCAAGACCTTATATGCGTCAATTATCCACGTATTAGATCTCCTTTAGTTATTTAAACGGAAGGCTTTTATTCAAAGACGTCAGTTTCGGCATCACCTTAAAGACACGTGCGTGTATTGTGGGCCCAAACGGTTCAGGAAAGTCCACTCTAATGAGCCTTTTGACCAATGAGTTATCTCCTACAAAGGGTTTGATTCTTGGAGCGTACCGGCTTCTATCCTTATGATAGGGTCCTTCGCTTGCAGGGTCAATTGAGCGGAACCGTTTGCTGCGCGTTGGAAAGTATCATCAGCATTTTGAGGATCTACTTCCTTTTGAAAAGACACCTGTCCGATACTTGAGGTTACTGTGCACACCTAAAGTGTAGAGATAATGCTTCCAAATACGCTTTTTTGCAACAGGGATGAATACGACGCAGACTACCAGTCCGTGCGCAACAAACTGGGAAACTTTGGCTTGGAAGGTCACACTTTAAGAAACACATGGTCTTCTAAATAGCGCGAAATAATCTTCTAATCTTCTGGGGCCAGGTTATGCGCATGAAATTCCCATAAAAGATCTTTCTGGAGGACAAAAGGCTCGTGTCGTTTTCGCCGCACTTTACTTCATGCGACCACACGTATTGTTTCTTGATGAGCCCACGAACCACCTCGATATCGAGTCCATTGAAGCTCTGATTTTAGCAATCAACGTAATGCTTTCCCCCTCAGAGTTTGTCGCCTCTTTTTTTATTTGAGTATTTAACTCAAGGAGTTTACGGGAGGGGTCGTGTGCATCACACATGACTCACGCTTGATTCAGGAGGCCCAGTTGGAAATGTGGGTTGTTGAAGATAATAATTGTTACGAGTATGACGGAACCTACGAGACCTATAAATCAAAAATATTAAAGTGTATCGAGGAATACGGTTCTCATCATAATAAAGAAAACTAAAATTTTTCATTCTTCTAGTTTTTAATTATCTAAAGGTATCTGAATGTCCTGCTTTTATCTATCATAACTTAACTTTCCTTTAATAAATACATGTTTTTACTATGCCAAAGTACGCTGTGAGCACCTGGCATTACTCCCTATTACTTATTTTTCTGGTAGTATAAGCACGCCTTTTATTAAAAAAATTGCATAAAGGTTGTATTACCTTTAAACTTCTTAGGAGAGTAATATATTTTACAAGTTCGAGAAAAGTGACCAACTGATGATTAAACATTCATAGCGGCAGTCCTGATTGTAAACTTTTACACTTAAAACAAATTACCTTCCCTTTTAGTACAGCTACTATTTTGATTGTGATTATTACTAGCAATAGTTACCTTACTTCTCCTATTACTGTTTGTACTTAGGGATATTTGTTAGAAATTACTTTACCTATTGACATAAGCAAACAACTATATAAATTTTAAATATTTACTGGCTTATAGTTCAACCTTAACTTTTTAAAGCGTTTACCCAAAGTTTACTCTTTATCTCTGTTAACGAATTGCTATTTTTTTTTTTTTTAAAAACCAGTAGTTGGTAGCTAACGACTTTACCATTGTATAAGAGGGAGAGGGTAGTTGGGTAGCCTTTTCTTGTAGAAAGACTCCCACCGAAATAACTTAAGTGTACATAGGCAGGAATTTAAGGTTATATATAACAACATAAGTTATATTACAGAGGGTATTTAAAACACTAAAATTCGATATGTATAAAAATTTTATATCTATAGTCATAAAAAACCCCTATTGTAAAGATTAAAACGGTAAGCTATAAGCAGTAAAGCAAGTTTAGCAGGTAGATCGAGACATGCAGGCTACATTTATCAGCGGCATAGAAGATAAAATTGCAAAGAAGCTTGTGTGTTCTTTTATAAAGCGAAATAACTTATTACATCCTCTTGTTGCAAATTCTTTCGAAGTCTTGGCGTTTTTTCACACAGAAGGGAGGAGCCTGGAACCTGCACTTTTTGTAGACAAATGTAGCGTTATTATTATCTTTTTAAAAGCTATTAAATGTTCACTCTTAAGTGCATAAATAAAATTACACTAATGTAGCTAAAAGCATATCTTTATTATTTAACAGCATTAAAAGTTCCATTGTGTTCAAAACCAAAGTGTTCCGGAAATACTGAACTTACAAGAAATTAATATATTGACGAGCTCTGAGAGCTGTAAGGTCGTTATATGCGTATTTATACAGAATAAGTCATGTTACACTAAAACAAATAATTCTTGTTTAAAAGGTGTTTAATGTTTTAACTAAGTATGGTTCTTCTGTACGAACTAGCTGCCACAAAAAAATACTTTCTAAACTGCATATTTATAAAAATTAAAGGCTTAAAAAAAAATATATTTAAGAATTGACCTCGCTACATACCAAAAGCCCTACGTCGTGTTGCAAAGCACCTTACGCGAAGACTACATCAAAACAACTGCTAAAATTACTTCTGACTATTGAGGACCTTTTTAATTGTCTAGTTTACAAAAATAACCCAGAAATACACTCTTGTTCTTGACATCTACTAATGAACTGAACCTCAAAAAAATTTCCTATAAAGATATTTACTTAAAATCAGATCAAATGTAAAGAGCAGAACAGAATTAAACCGTTGAATGACTTTAGAGAATTAAAAGAATTATTGACGAGAAAATGCGGTCCCGGGGTGGAAATTCTTCGTTTGTGCATCAATCAAGCTAGATTAGGTTGGCCCTAACTTACGAGGACCAGGCAAAAGGCGTCTTCTTTGTTATCAACGTGAATGCAGTACTAACCACGTGTCTTTCACTCAACTAGCTTCAAGCCTTCACAACTTGCAAATTTCGCTGCTAACTATAAAAACAAAGATCCAGTAATTCAGAGCTATTTTGATTCTTATATTTTTTGTTTACACTTCCAAGAGTTTATGAATTGTATCAATATTGCTAACATGGATTCAATGATAATGTTTAGATTTTTTCAAATAACTTATAATTGTACTCTATTCAGTAATAACGCGGAAGAATTTAATCATTAAACAAGAGTTATAAATAGATATAAAAAAGCTTATTAGAAGTCTCGGACTCTAGTAATTTGCGGTACAAAAAGATTAAAAAATCCCTGCATTCCTTACCTACACAATAGCTTGCTACTTTAAAAAAGGCAACAAGTAAGTTTTTTTCTTCTACACTAATCCGCTTTTTTAAGCTTTTGAATAATTAACTGATGGCCTTCTTGTGCCAAATTAATACTCCCTGGCTTAAAATAATTCAAGATATAGGCTGACAGTATAGTATAAATTGTCTTTTTTATTAATCAACATGAAAATCATAATAATTTAACTTTAGAAACCTCTTCAAAGCAATTCTGAATTAGAGGATCACTCTATTTCATGGGAAGGACGTCTAATTCTTTAATAAAGGCAAGAGCAACTTATAAATAACCTTTAAACTTTTGAAGTGTGTCACCGCACTCCGTTCCATTTCCGCAATCTACAATATTATAGTGATTCAGTTTTTCTTTAAAAAAATATACAAAACCAGCTCTGTAAGTTCTGCCTTCCGTACACTTGCCTCTAATTCAGCAATACTTTTAAGGCGATCTTCAATTATACTTGCGGTATCTACAAAAACAAAAATATTATATAAAAAGTCAAGTTAGAAAAAATAATTAAAGGTGAGTTTTCCAAAAAGTAAACTAAAACCGTTGACCATTTTTCTGTATTTGTATTCGGCCTTTAAAGCAGCGACGTCCAACTCAATCTCTTTAAGAAGTTCAACAACTTTTGGATATTGTTGCTGCTCTTTACAGTTTGCTATTTTTTTTTCAAAAAAGGCAATTTTGTTTCTTCTCACAGCAGCAAATTCTTCAATTCTTGTCTTATAAGAAATTCGTAAAAAAATTAATATTTAAAGCTTTGTGGTAATGTCTACGTCAAGATCTTTTTTAAGAAAAGCGTAAAGTGGTCCCCCTATCTTTTTATAAGCTGTTATGCAAAAGATAGTAAAGGCGATGAGAAGCGCATTTTCAGAGTTATCAAGTATGAAAATTTCTTCAGCAATTGCTTTCATACAAATAAAATAATTAGTCTTGTACTAAATGACGCAGATACATTAAAATTTGAAGAGGTACCATAAAACGCGAGACTGACACCGAGAACTACACCTCCTGTTTTACCAACCGAAGGATCCAAGAATTCGGGGCGTTGAAGAACTTCGGGAGTTCCTAACAAAATGTTATTTTAAATTTTAAAGTATAATAAGTCAACTTTTTATATTAAATTAAATTTACTTTATAATCTTAGTGAACTGCTTACCGCAAGATGAGGCTCTGTAAAACCTGAAAGTAAAGGGAAAAACACTTTTTCGAACTATGTTAGACGCTTTATTCAAGCCTTAGCAAGTATTTGTCATATAAAAAATAAGAATTATTTTTAATAAAGATTATTGAAGGAATAACAAATAACTCAGGAATTTTTTTTTAAGGATGGTGACCTTTAAAAAAGCGACCGTACCGAACTGGCGAAAACATTTTCTAAGTTTCAAACACACTTACTTTTGAATAAGGCTAATATACTGAGGGTTACTCGTACGAGGGAAACGGTAAACAGCAAATATGTAAACCCATCATACTAACCGAAATGAGAGTGCTATCTTTTTAGCTCAAGTGGTTAAGACCTTTGACGCGCAAGCTCCAAAACCACAGCTCTTTTTTACTGTCTTTTCTGGTTGCATATCTAATCTTGCCCTTACAACTTCTAATACATTATAAGCACTCGCTGAAACCCTGGTATTTACTACAAACATTAACCCTTTGATTGGCGCAAATATATATATAAGTTTTGAGAATTGTAGGATTGAACGAGTATAAACGTGCCTGATCTATGAGCAGCGAATGTAATGTAAACCTTTGTGGAGACCCTTTGTTGAGATCTACCATGGTAAAATTATGAATTATATAAAAACTTTCCACCAAACCCACAATTTACAAAACTGCTATATCCTCCTGAGACCTACTGTCCATTAAAATAAACATTCAGTTTATAATTTATTGCGAGAGCTAATAAATGACTGGTTAAAATAATATTTTATTTTTTTGACTTGGCAATCGAAAATTCTTGGAATTTGTTTCGAAGTGACCGCCTAAAATTTCGTGAAAAACACAAAAGATTTAAGCATCTTTTCGATTTTAAAACGCGAAATCGCAGAATAGGAAACGCAAAACGATGAAGAGGTGAAGTATGAAATTGGTACACCTGGCACTGTTTATCTGAGGGTTACTTTTCGTCAGCAAACGATTTCGATCCGCCCCAACTTTACCAGAGAACAACAATGCAGTTATGAGCAAAAGAAAACACCTGCCACTGCTGAAGTCCGAAGCTTAAAAACCCTGTGAGGTGCCCAAATTCCAGGTGCCAGAAGAAAGTTAAGTCATGTAAAAAATGCAATAAGTTTTTTTGCACTAAGGCTAACACAACTGTTTCTATGACTTTTATAAATTAAGTTAACAAGGATCTGTAATCCACCAAAATAACCTTTTTTTTTGCAAAAAAATGGTATATAAAAATTTGAAAAAATTAAGATGCGTTTAAAAGCCTATTTACATCTACAATCCACAAAAAAGCTTATAATATACTTTTTTTTTAATTTCGGATCTCAAAAAAAATATACGTACTTACCAGTTAAGGGTAAAAACTAATAAGAAAAAAAAATAAAAGTGGATAAATTTAGAAAAAATATAAAATATTTTAAAATTAAAGAAAATATAAAATAAAACAAAAAGAACTTTAAGACTAATAGTTGTTTGTGTTTTTTTTGTTTTAACACTGGCACACCACCTTCAAATCCTAGACTAGGGGCCACCTGAAGAACAGCCTACTAGGCCTTCCCAACTTTATATCTTTTAAAATATAAGTAAAAGACGCATTTTAAAGATTTTTACTATTATAATTAGATCCTCAAAACAATATTCTGATAAAGTTTTAGAGGCTCATATTTCTTAAATTTCAACTATAAGGATCTATTAAAGGTAATTTGTCGTCTCTACAGTGCAAGTTAATAAATATTTTATAAACTGTATGGATGTCAGCTATGTGCGTTTAACTAAATTAACTTTAGTCGGATGCTTGTCTAATTAAAAGTTAAATTTGAAGATTGCGTTACACACCATGTGGAAACCAATGATATCATTTATAAGCATGTTTATATGCGCGTGCGCGCAAGCAGCGTTTAAAGCACCCCCTATCTTATATTAATATTAGGTTAAATTGTAATAACTCCGTGAAGACGGGGTTTAGAACTACAATGGATTTGCTGTTATACCGAAAAATATGTGCCGGCATCAGATATGGATGTAGAAGAGCTGAACTGTTTAAGAAGCTAAAGCAATACTTTTTCAAACACAAATGGGTGGCTTTTAGAGAAGCAAATAAACGATGAAAACTTAAGAGAGGCAATGAAAATTTAGCCTATAAGCAAGCCTAAGTTTTAAAGGAGAAATAGTGGTAACTATGATATCGCTAGGATTTACGCCTATTTTAAAATAACGTTGAGTTTTTTGGAGCTGCACAACTAGGACAGGTGTGATAGTAGATATATATCTTTTGAGATAACACAGCTTATAAAAAAGATAGGGCAGTAGTAAGCAATTTAATGATAGTAGATATATAGGTATAATAAGCTGAATATAGTAGTAATTGCAATTATAAAAAAAAAAGTTGTAGAAATAGCCCTTATTTTAGTAATGCTGCTAATAAGAATAGTAATAGAATTTATGATGTTGCTAGAGATTATAGTAACGTGTGTATAATAAAGTATAAAAAATTATGGTTGGAAAAAATGTAAAACCGAACCATTCAATGGTTCACTCAGCTATATAAAGATAGATACCCATTTATTGACATGGAACCCTCTTAAGACCGCGCCGGATGGAAAAGGACGCCAATAAATGAAGTTAAAAAGAAAGAGGAGGGATACTCGATTGAACGGGCGGAAGGTGTGATAGAAGGGGTTGCACAATTTGTTAGATCCTGGTTCCAATTTTAGTTTTATTAAGAAAATCCCTTTACAAGATTGGTCATAAAAGTTGACTTATTTATCAAAAGATAAGTTTTCTGTATTTGGAGGGAGGACTATATTTCCTAAGTTGTCGTGCCGGTTAATTTGTCATTAGATAGCGTTTTTCGAGGTGAAATGTAAAACGTTGTGGATCATCCACTATAAACAGGACTGGACATACTTCTTGAAAAAAATCATTATGAAATATATTTGTTTCGTATTGTTATTCTTAATAAAAGAAATTGTTATGGAAAACACTGTATAGAGGAAGAAAGCAAGGAAAGATCTCTTTAGTTAAAAGGGCAGATGATCTAGTGATGGCCAATTTTAATAATGTGGAAAGGATTGACGGCCAAATGAGCTTGAGATGCGAAAGAATTATAAACAGTGTTAAAATTTTGGCCAGAAGGATATACAATTTAAGGTGGAACCCGAAGTTAAAATTGTTATGAATTTGGTACTTTTGCAAGTCTATATTAAAGAAAACTCTTCGCCGATCCGGTCTAAATCGAAATTAACGATAAAATAAAGGTCAAGGTAAATGCGGGAGTTCGAGAAACTATTAATAGCGGAATTTTATTAGAATATCCAATAAATCATGGAATCATATGCAAGTTGTGGTAAGAAGTCTAGTTTTAAAGGTGCTAACCCAGAAAAAATTCAGCAAAAACCAGAGAAATATTTTGGTATATGTGGTGCCTTATAAGGGTATAATGACAGGTGTGTAAACAAAAGATACCAGGCACCGAATGAGAGGAATATATCAAAATTTCGATAAAAGGTCAAAAGATATTTAGCACCTTAGCTAATGGTAAAGGATACATCCAGCATCAAAAATATTTTGCTTTTACTATGGCGGACGGAAGAGAGTGCATTGAACTAAACTCCCTTTTAGTTATGTTAATGCACTTTTCATAAACCAGAGAAGCATGAATTTTATAACTGTTGGCCTTATAGACGCACACACGTTTACGATGACTATTGTTTGGTGACTGGCAATTTTAATGTGGGGCATTATAGAAGTTTGTGTGACATAACTAAGAGATATAAAAACTTTAAGAATAAAATTAGACTTGAGAGTGTTGTTCGTCAAGTTCTTCAGTAAAATGGTTAGGAAGAGAGATCATAAATGAAGGTGTAAGAATGAGTGAAGATAAAGTACAGGCGTTTAATATATGTCGAGACAGGAAAATAAGGAGTTGATAAGCTTTATTCAAGCACTGAATAGCTAAATTTAAATGGAATAGCCAGCAAGAGCCTGCATAGAACGCCATATTTTGGTTTTTAAAAAGAAGGTTGCGCGTGGAGCATGTACACAGTGATTGTTGAGTTAATTTTGTAAACTGATGCAAGTGTTGTCTGTGGGTACCCGGGGGGGAGGGGGGTAATTTAATTTCAAAGGTATGATGGACGATTTTATCAAATCTATATTTAACGGTGCCAGAAAAAGTATGATATCACCGATGTAAAAGCGATAGCCTTAGCAAGGTGTTGAACAAACTTATGGAATGCATTTAACTTCCTAGCAAGTCATTAGTTATGGAAACTGACCACTAGAGCCTTTTCCATATCTTTCGGGAGGAGCACATTGCCACTATCGTGAGAGGCAAGAGAATTAATTGTGTTAAATTTACTATGAGTAAATTTACTGGTTTTTAAAAACGGGAAAAAACAATGTTATTACCCATTTAAATATCTCGCTTACCCGCTGAAGAGGTCATGTTAAACATACGTACAGTAGGCGGAAGTGTTACTTAGGAACTTATAAATATAGATTCAAAAGGTAAAAATATACATCAAGAGTAGTTTCATTTAGTAAAAAAGAAGTTACAAGAGGTGATAAAGGATAAGGGTTTTAAAAAGCTAGTAGATAAGGTTGTCGATGGTTGCGAACTCTGTCAAAGTACAGGCCTCCAACTAACAATGATTTCTAAAAAACCGCTAGAACACTTCATTAGAATAATGGTAATACCTTCATCCACAGAGGGCCAGGATAGTTTTTTAATTATAGTTGATAGATAGACTCGTTATGGTTGGGCCAAAGCATTACAAAAAGTAAAAGCACAATTAATTATAAAATATTTTAAAAAAGTCTTTGAAGGCAAATACCAACACGGATTGATAACTTTAGATGGTCAATTTGTCATTAAAAGTAAAGATTTTAAAAGTATTTTATTAACACTGATTACCATCAGTCTTACGGTCTGTGTGAACGGACAATTAAAACAATTAAAAAAGCTTAAATGACATCTGGTTATAAAAGAGAAATAGAAAGGACTACTATATAAAATTATTACATCTATAGACAGCATACTACCTACTTTGTTTGGAGTCAACCCGTTGTTTATGATGTTTACAGAAGAATTGTAAAAAGAGAGTATTTAAACATTGGGAGATGTCCGCAAAGAACGCTATGACATTATTCGATAATATTAAGAAATTATAAGTGGACCTGGAAGACAAAACCAAAGCTGCTTGAAAAGGTTATGAAAAGACAATAAGAAAAGAGTCGTCAATAATGATAATTTTATCGTAGGCAGTTAAGTGTATATTAAATTTTCGAAAGCAAATTAAAAATTTCAAAGCTGGAAGGGCCCCGCTGGATTGTTGGAGATT